GGGGGGGGGGCCCTGCCACAGCTGATAGCTGTGGGCTGGGAAGGAGGTATCTGGCTTGGGGTTTGCGAGGAAGACTCGAGGGGTTTCGGCCAAGACCGTGCCCCAGGCTTTGGGGAAGAAGAGAAGGCGCCCACTGCTGAGACCTCAGGAGATGCGCCTGAGAAGGTGCCGGGGCCCATCAGCCGCCAAATGAAGCGGGACAGGGCAGCAGTGTGTAAGAGCTCACAGTTTCTAGTCACACAGATCTGGGTCCCCATGGGGGCCTCAGTTTCTCCGTCAGTAAGGGAGGGGTGACACTAGTGTCTCCCTCAGGATGGCTAAACAATCTATGGAGTTGTGGTGTTAAAGTGCGTGCAGATGCTGTTAATATTGATCAGCAGCAGCAGCACCAGCCACCTGGGGTGTTCATTGAGCAGACTCTGAGGGAGCGCCAGCCTGGTGCCGGGCACCGTGCCGGGCCACAGCAGGAACAAGCCCCGGCCCCACGGAACCTGGCGCCTGGCGGGGAAAACAGGAGCAGGCAGCCCCTGTCAGTCAGACAAGAAGCTTGTCGGTGACACCAAAATCCAGGTGCCCCGGGACCAGAGGCTGTTCCCCAGGGATGGTGCAAACATTCCGTGACCCGCTCATCCTGAGCTGATGGAGCAACTTCTAGGCTTTGCTTCTTTCTCCCACTGGGCTGGGCGCTGAGTGCTGTGGGGGCGCCACCCCCGTCCCTGCAGGGGTGCTGTTATACACACGCGACAAGCCAGATTACCTTCCTAAAATCTAAAACATTCTCCTGAACTCTGCAGTCAAGAGGCCCCTGAAGATTTGGGACGGGGGACCCATATTTTGGGGCCACTGCCTGAAAGCATGGAGTGCTGACCGCATCACGAGAGAGGCTGACGTCCCAAGCCCAGGTCCAATGGGCGCGTCTGAAGTTTTTAGGGAGCAGTAAGGTTGGGGGACAGGTTGTAGAGGGCAAACAGGAGCAGGAAGGAAAAATGACCCTGGAGTGTTGGCGAGAGGTGACTGGCCCCATTAACACAACTTTAAAAATAGCAAAGAATAAAAAAGGAGGTAGGACTTGTTGGGAAAGTTTCCAGAAGGTGGCTGGAAACGCAGCGCTAGATCTCAGAGGAGTTAGAAGCGCAGCCAGGAGCAGTGGGATCATCGGTGTCAGCTAAAGCCAGAGGGACAGGTGAGATCATTTGAAAGGCAAAGCGGGGAGAGAGAGGAAACGCTGGATTCCCAAGCAGGAATATATTTCAGGGTGGGAGGACCAAGAGACGCCAGCCTGAGGTCAAGGGCAACTCAGAGTCATCCAGCACACTGTGCCCGAGACCCTGTGTGGGGGCGGGCGTGCATAGATGGGCGCGACGGGAGACGCTCACTCTAGTGGGACACGTGGCAATAGACAATTATTTTTTTAAAAACCTAAAAATGAATCTTGAAGCAATGGGGAGGGAGGAGGTATAACAAGTATTAGACTCTTATCACCTGCCAAACATTGTTATAATTATCTCCTTTAATCCTCCCCAAACCCCGTGGTATTAGTATTATGAATCCCATTTTACAAGTGAGGAAACTGAGGCTCAGAGAGGTTAAGTCAAAAGGCCAGTTAACTTTAATTTTTATCTAAGTTCAACCATCCTGAAGTAGGACCCAAAACTAGAACAGATTTGAAAGCCCTTATTATTTTTATTTTAGTTGACAGGACTAGCTAGCTCTGTACTTCAGAGCCAAAGATAAAGATGGTTTTTAGCCATTGATAGACGGCATTAATCAGGACTTGGGAGTTCAGCCCATCACTTTGTCTCTATCACACACGCTCTAAGCTGAGTTTTTAGAATCAGGATATGGTAAAAAGAACAAAGAAACAAAAGACAAAGAGCCATAATATATAAAGAGCTCGTGCAAATCAATAAGAAAAATCCGTATAATAAGAAAACTGCCAAAGGATATCTACACATAAACTCACAGAATAAATACAAATACTCAGTAAACTTTTGTAAAGATGCCCAACTTCATCATTAATGAAATAAAGCCAGATTAAAATCAGTAAGATACTGTTTATCACCCATGAGGTTATCAAACACTTGCAAACGAGTAACATTTCGTGTTGATGAAGATGTGGAGAAATGAGCACTGTCATTCATACACCATTGGTGGCAGCTGAATTTAGTAAATCCTTTTTGGAAGACAGGTGGCAATATCTATCAAAATTTTTAATGTGCCAATTTTCTGACACCCCCCCAAAATTTTGACTTCTATGATTCTGATATACTAGATACACACGTGCACACAGAGAGGGCTGTAAAAAGTGGACAGTTGCAGCTTCATTTATAATTTAAAAATGAAAACCTAAATGGCCATAAATAAGGGACTGGTTAAACCGAGAAGACCTGAGCACCACAAATCCCACTGCCGTCCCACCCACGAGGGGAAACTGTCTGCAGGTGTGCACATGCACCTGCGTGCCTGTCAGTGCACAGGAAGGTTCCAGAAGGGCCCCAAGAAACTGATAACGGTGGCCACCCCCAAGGAATGGACAGGCACCGGAAGCAGGGCATGAAAGGGACTTTAATTTGATTTTTTAAAGTAAGGATAGTTTTAAAAACAGTAAAAGAAAAAGGGCAGACCAACGTTTGATGTCAGACCACCGCCGGTTAAAATTCTGGCTCCACCATTTACCCACCTTTTACATGGGAATAACAGTCCCTCCTGCACTAAATGGGGTTCTAGGAAAATTAAGTGGGGTCCTAGGAGCATTAGAGAGGGCTGGCACTTAGTAGGTGCCCAGGAAGCGACAGCCGTCAGAACTGCTGGTGTACTCACTTGGCACACGACTTTTTGGTGCTGTTCACAAACAGCAAGGGAAAGAATTGAAATCGCATGTGTGCAATATGAGATCAACAGAATCTTATTAAACCCATCTGTCCTATTGAGAGCCCGAGGCTAATAAGCTTGCGTTTCAATTATTTTGTGAAATCCTGGGCCCTGTCTCCAGAGAGAGGAGGAGAGGAGGAGGGAGAGAGGAGGCAAGGAGCGTACAGGCCACAACAGTGACTGTAGTTTCTTGGTAAATTAACCCCCAATCAGAAATTTAGATTCTTGGCTCCCGAAGGCATGTCAGTTGCCATGAATCTACTTAAACGTGGAGTGAGGGGGTGGGGGCAGCTTCAGGCCAACACTACCAGACTATATACACTTAGAAATGTATAATGGACGTCACTAAAGCTCCATGCAAGACCCCCACTTACCTGGGCCTTCGCGAACCCCCTGGAAGGTAGCCGGGCAAGTGGCAGTGCTCCTGCGGAACCCTGGGGAAACCGGAGCTCAGAGACTGCCAAGTGCCTCACCAGGATCACACAGCACAGCCCCGACGTGAACTCAGGCGGGCCCATCTCAGTCCACGAGGGGAGGCTTTCATCCTGAGCCCCCCAGAGGGATCCCTGCGGGCTCTGCTCCAGGCACCGTGTGGCGGGAGGTGACAGGAGAGGAGGGACAGGGAGGGCTCCTGGCCTGCGAGTAGCCAAGGAGCGCCCTTCAGCGGCCACGTGATGGCCAATCAGATTCGTGCATCAGCGTCACCTGGAGGGCCACTGAGGCAAGGTTGCTGGGCGGCACCCCAGGGAGCTCCCGATTCAGCTCAGGGTACAGGAGGCGGGACTAAGGCACAGTCCGAAAGAGCCAGGACGACGCACGGAGGACGTGGCACAAACGTCACTAAAGGAGCAGTACCGGGCACAAGAGGGGCAAAGGAGTCAGCTGGAGGGGCTCAGGGGCACTCCCCGGGAAGGTGGCATCCAAGCTGAATTTTTAAAGGACGGATAGGAGCCCATCAGACACTAGAGGAGCAGGCCAAGCAGGAGAGGCCACACGGCCCACGCAGGCCGGGGGCGGGAGGTTCAGTGCACCCGGTGCTTCCTGAGTGCTCGCGTGTGGGCACTGTGCATACCACCTGCCACCTCGTGCACGCTTCTGCCCACCCGAGAGGAGGCTGAGGCTCAGGGGGGCCAAGCAGCTTGTTCAAGGTCACAAAGCTAGTAACTGACAGGGCGGGACTTGAACCTGGCCCCCTGTGGCCCACTCCAGCAGATGAAGCGTTTTGAATGCCAGTGAAGGCCCTGTGGTCTGCTCAGCTTACAGGATATGGAACATTCCTACACATGTTTCTGTTCTGTCCCTAAATGTGTGTGAGTGCAATTTACATTTTAAGTAGAGTGTTGTCATAATTAAGACAAATACTTTGGAAGGAATGATTCAGACTTTGCTTATTTGTAACTGTCAATATCAGAAATATCTACGGGCACTCAAATACCCAGCATTTGATGCACATGAGTCTTATGATTAGTTCAGTAAAACTATTTGCATTAACCTCTCTCCATCTCCCCTTAGCCACCTGCTCTTAGAGACAGTGCTTTGGGGCCTCGATATTATCATTGGGATGTGCAAGCGTTACTCTCTGGAGATAGCTAAGGAATTTTCTAGACAAGAAAGCATGTAGGCCGTGGGGATTATGGTCAGCTGAGTGTTTAAGGACGGCCGTGGTGGCTCAGGAGAGGGGAGGCCAGAGCAGGGGGAGCAAGGAGGAGGCCATTGCGTTGGTCCACGGATTGTTGGGGTGCCTGATTTCAGGGCTGGAGCAGAAGGGCTGGGAGGGGTAGTAAGAATCGTCAAGACTCTGGTAAGTTGGCCGCAGGGGAAAGGGGTCCCTAAGATGTTGCTTTGCTGGTTTCTGCTTGAGGGACAGGGCAGTGATAGTGGAGAGAGTCTGGCTGATGAGCTGAGCTGGGGACACAGCAGGGCCTGCAGAATGCCCCTCAACTCTGGGCCCATCCTTCTAGGGGCTCCCTGGGTGATGACCACACAGACCCCCATGTGGGCAGAGACCGCAGAGGGAGCCTGGAGAGCCCCCCACACCCTGGGCCCCAGACAGCGGCTGGGGGGGGGTGGCAAGGGGAACACAGCAGGTCTCATAGGCAGGGCGGCCTCCTGTCAGCCATCTCCCCCTCCCTGCGGTGAGGGACCCCCTTCTTTCAAACAAGCACGCAAAACAAGCAACTTGAGTTGCCACGCAAACCAGAGTTGGCCCTGGTCGCAATAAAGACACCCAGCTGTGCTCCGTTGGACATAAGTCCTGGACACGGAGGAAGGACAGAGTGTTCATGTGCATGGGCGTGCGGAGTGCGAGGTCCAAGTGCACGGCTCGTGGCTGGCCCAGCTTAATGCCAGGGCGAGTTCAGGGTTCGAGAAGGCAGGCTTGTCTGGTAGACATCAGACCATGTCCTCCACAGACAGTGCTCACTGCGCCTGAAGACACAGGCAGCAGAGGGTCGGGGTTATTTTCTCTCGGTGTGGGGGGGTGTTTGGGGTGGGGGGTGCAGGGAATGAGGTTCACAGCACCCATGGTAGTAGAAGAGTATTCCCAGGGCTGCGACCTGCCTGGGTGGCCATCCTCGCCTCCTCTGAGGGCAGGGAGACCTGCAGGCTGCATTAGCCTGATTCAGGCAGAGCTGCTCCCTTCTGCTGACAAACTGGGGACAAGACCCAGAGCTCCCCCCGCCGAGCATGGTGGCCCCCAGGTCCCCAATCGTCTTTCCTGCCAGGAGGACCCTGCTGCCTTTCGCTCTTTCCCAGGGCGCCCTGGACCAGCCTCCCCGGGAAACTGGGAACTCCTCTGAGCTGAGAGCAGCTCTCGCTCCACGTGCTGACCCGTGGCGAACATCCAGTTCTCATTCATTCATTCAGTGGATAGCCATCTACTGCATGCCAGGCGCTGTCCTCACTCTGGGGACCCGGCAGGGAACAAAGCAGACACCTCCGTGGGGCTCCCATGCCCCGGGGAGCACTCCCAGGGGCCCCCGCTGCTCCCACTGGCACACCCCACGGGTGCAATCAGGGCCCTGGTCTCCCACAGAAGCACCAGTCCCACGAGACTCCCCTGGGCCGGCTGGGGCCCCTCCGAGGCTGATGTTCACCCCTTCTGTGCCCACAGGGGGGACTGGCTGCTGAGCTTCGTGTACCGCACGTCCTCGGTGCAGCTCCGCGTGGCCGGCCTGCAGCCCGTGGAGCTGCAGGACAGGAGGGTGGAGAACGTGGACCTGTCCTCTGTGGTGAGTAGCACTGCCCGGCCCTCCTAGGGCTCTGCGTTTGCCCTGAAGTGGGGGCACTTCATTAACCAGAGACACTAGCCCTGGCCCATTCCACCCCGGGGGAGGGGGAGCGTAGCATTCGCTTGGGAAGGGGTGTTAGAGTGAATTCACGTAGCCCAGGAGTCGTAGGTCTGGGCCCTGAAACCCAGTCCGGAGCCTGAGCTGTCCACCGCCCTGTGGGAGTGAGGTGGCCTGGACGACAAGACCAGTAACCACGGGACTCAGAGCGATGCCTCCTGACTCGTGGCCGGGCGCCTCTGTCCTATTCAAGGGTCCCTGTACCCTGAAGGGGCAAGAGGAGACGTGATTTTGTGCCTCGCCACCCAAGAGTCTCCCTCTGCCAGGAGGAGCAGCCAAAAGTTCCTTTTAAATGGAAATTCCCTTTAAATGCCACAAGCCCTCACAAGATCCAATTTCTGCCCCACGAAGCCACTGAATAGGATATATTGGGAAGCACAGCCTTCGGCACCAAGGCCTGGCCTGGAATCCCAGCTCGGCCACTGGTACACTGGCTGTGTGACCTTGGGCCAGTTACTGAACCTCCCTGTACCTGTTTCCTCATCTGTGAAATGGGGCAAATCACCTACCTTCCAGGGCAGCGCGTGTGAGATGCTTGGCGCATAGTAGGCCCTCACTTAATACTAGCTCCCTCCTCTTGCCTCTGCCACCGCCTTCAGTTCTGCCCTTTGGGCCAGCAGCTTCAGAGGCATCTCCCCCCTTGGACTGCCTTCGTGGCAGCTTCCCAGCTCCTGCCTAATAATAGCTCTTTATCACATTAGGAGAACATCACAGAAAGCAGCGCTTTCCTCTTTGGGGTAATTAGAGTAATTGGCATCGCCTTGGTGCCGCCCTCCTGTTTTCCTTGAAAATTCTTGCTGGAGGAGAGGTTGCTGGCAAAAGAGTTTTATTACTGCTGTTGGGGGAAGCACCGGCTGCCTCGTGCCCAGGACGGAGACCTGCAGTGGCCACCCATACCTCCCTCCCGCCCTGTCCCGCCTGCCTCCACCAGCCCCCCACCACCCTTCACCAGCATTAAAAAGGGAGGCAGTTTTTGTTTGTCATGTGGGTCCAGGTTTGTGCTGGCTGGAATTCAGATATGATGGCTGGAGCTTGGCAGCCACCTTAGGTTCCCAAATGGGTCAGCCTAGCAAACTCCACCCTCCCTTTCCAAGGAAACTAAAGTAAGGGAGCTTATATTTATGGAGCGCCTACTGTGTGCTAGGCACTGCCGTTTCTTTGTATTATTTCTTCCCACCAACACCATGAGGTGAGTATCACTAATTGGGTGATGTCTCCATAGAACTATTTTGGGTCTATGATAGTAACTAGAACGTAATACTAAGAGGTAGAATATACTGAGTCCCTGCAAAGTTCCAGGCCCTTGAACTCTTGTAGCAGACATTCAAGGGAGGTGTTGTGATCCTCATTTGACAGGTGGGGAAGCTGGGGTTCTGGACAGTGTAAGGACTCAGCCAGCTACTGGTAAGAGACAGAGCCAAGGCTGGAGCCCCTTCTCAGATCCCAAACTTAGGTTCTTTCTAGTGCCGTGCAGCTGCTCATGTCTACTGTTTGTGGAAGCAGCTGCCCCTCCTTGACCTCCACCCTGAACCCAGGGATCTGAAAAGCCCCTTTTATGTGTGTGTCGTCACTGAACACGATTCAAAAGCGTTGGGAAAGCCCAGCCAGGGTGGCTCAGCAGTTGAGCATCGACCTAGGATCCAGGAGATCGGGGTTCGATTCCCGGTCAGGGCACATGCCCGGGTTGCGGGCTCGATCCCCAGTCAGGGGCATGCAGGAGGCAGCCCATCAGTGACTCTCCCATCATTGATGTTTCTCTCTCCCTCCCTCTCCCTTCCTCTCTGAAATCAATACAGATTTTTATTTTTTTTTAAAGGAAAGAATGAGGTAGGCAGGTTCTGGTTGTGAGAAAAGAACAACACTGTACCGGGAACTACCTTTTTGCATTTTTGAAAAATCTTTTGCATAGCCCAGTGTGGTTTGTGATTCAAATGGAAATGCAGATGCGTTGTTTCCTAAGATTCCCCACACTTGCCTCCCCTGTGTCTTCCTGTCTTCTTTGTAAGCAAAAGCCTTCCTCTTCAGCCTGAAAGGGAAGCTATGTCTGGGGCTCACCTTTGACTCTGACGCAGGCCCCCTGGACTGGCTGGCAAAGCCCGAAGCTCAGCTGCTGGGAGCAGGGCTGAGCTCAGCAGCTTCTGCGTGCAGCATCTCATACACACCACGTGGCTTTGCTTTTCACATGCTGTGTGTCATTAAGCAAACCACCGCCCCTCTCTGGCTTCCACTCATCTGTAAAATGCGAATGATTTTTTAAATTTCCTCTTCCTGATTTTCTGTGAAGAGAACAGACCTGATTCAAAGTTCAGCTCTGACACTTTCTAGCTGTATGACTGGGGACAAGTCACTTTACTTCTCTGTGGCTCAATTTCTTCATCTATAATTAGCAGCCAACACCCATCGAGGAGTAAATCCAATAAGTTCATTTTCTGCAAATCCAGTAAGTTCATTTTCTGCAATGGATTAAGGACTTCATGTCTGAATTCCAGCCAGCAGGAAAGAGGAAATGGGGGGAAAGAGCACTCCTCCTTTTAAAGAGACCTCCAGGGAGCACCACATAACACCACCACTTCATCTCATTAGCCAGAGCTTGTCGCAGTGCTGCAGTCAGCCTCAAGAGAGGAAGGTGCCAGCTATAAGTTGAAGTTCTTAGGACTAAGGGACAAGGGGAGAGTGAGTTGTAGACGGTACCTTGCAGTCTGTGCCACTGCTCTATTTTCAGGTTGAGGGCCTTACAGAAACCTCACAGCAACCCTCTGATGTAGCTACGCTTATTGTGCCCATTTTACAGCTGAGGCAAGTGGAGGTCAGAGGATAAAGGGGCTTACCCAAGGCCCCAGAGTGGTGAGCAGCAGAGCCCTCCTGCTGGAACCTAAAGCTGCAGAGGAGTTGAGAACCTCCACTTGGACTATCAGGAGATTCCTTCCTGCCCCCAGAGGCCCCAGATTTTGTAGACAAACTTCCTTCATCTTTACTTAATAAGTTCTAGAGCAGCCTTGAGCCTGGCGGCTTCCCACCCCACTCTGGATTTCAGAGCCATGGAGAGTTGGAGACAGGGCATTGGCGATTGAGGGAGAGGGTGAGGCCCAGGAGATTAGCCCACCCACCATGGTCCTCACTCACTGTCCTCCTGCAGGTTAGCGGCCACTTGGACTATGCCAAGCAGATGGACGTCATCCTGAAGGCCGTGGGCATCCACACCAAGCCGGGCTGGGACGAAAAGGGGCTTTTGCTGGCCCCAGGCAGCCTGCCTCAGGAGGAGCCTCGCCAGACAGCAGCTGCCGCCTCATCAGACAAGACCACCTACCAGGATGGGCAAACCCAGGGTCCCGCCCCCAGAGACGCCTCCAAAGCGTCCACACCTGCTGACCCCAGCCACGCCCAGGTGCCAACGGGGCTGGGCCAGTCCGAAGGGGCCTCCCTTCCTGCTGCTGCCTGCCCTGCCGAGAACCGCCAGATCTGCAGCCATGGCCTGGGCCCCAACCCACTGGGCTGCCCCAGCTGTGCCAGCGAGGCCCAGGGGCCCTGCCCAGGGCTGCACTGACCCCAACAGGACTCGAGTCATCTTCCCAGATCTCCACATGCGGGGCTCTTTTACGCCCTCCAGCAGGCTCCCCACAGGAGCTCTGAACAATTCCCACCAGTGCCTTTCCCAGATTGAAGGCTTTGCGGTCGAAAAGCAAGGAATTGAAAGGTAGGGGGTTGTAGGGAGACGACCCCCTGGGAAAGCAAGGCCAGAACCCTGCAGAGCCAACCAAGCATAGCCGAGAGCCCTGGGACTGCCAGCCGTGGGCCTCCGGTACTTTAGGGCACAGCCATGGGGTCTGGCTCTCCATCAGGAGGTCTGGGGGCTCTCTGGGGCCTGAGGCTCCCACCCACCGCTCTCCCCCGCCTCAGTCCAGCCCGGTGTCTGCCGGCTCCCCCATCCACTCCAGGGCTCGCACCAGCCCACAGGCACCTCTGATGCACCTAGAGAGCAGGCGCCGGTAGGGAGCAGGCCGCTCACTCTGCTTGTGGGAGCTCTGATCAGACCTGCCATATACGGCCTCGTGGGCTGTGCACTGCACGGCGACAGGGGCATCAATCACATGGACGTGATGTGGAGGGCGCCCCTCAAAATTGTGCTGCATGGTGGCCCTGGGAGTCATTGTAACAGCACAGCGAGGAAATGCTGAATCCTCAGGCGGTACGCGTGGGAGCTGGGCCTGGGAGCAGGAGTGGATTCCACAGGGCAAGGATTTCCTGGAGCGGGAGCAGAGGTGATGATGATTGTAAAAATAAAGGATGGCTAGCACCCCGTGAGTACTTACCACGTGCAGAGGGCTTATGTTGTCTCAACTGACCCCACAACAACCCCATGAGGTATCTACTGTTATCATCATTTTACACCTGCAGATACTGATGCCCAGAGAGGTCAGGTAACCTGCTCAAGGTCACACAGCTGGTCAGTCTCAAACTCATCAGTAGGCCTCCGGAGCCCAGCTCTTAGCCACTGTACCTGCACCTCCGAGAATCTTCCCCTCTGTTCCTCCCACTGTCCATGAATGACAGGGCCAGAGACAATCCCCCTACCCTTGTGCAGATGCAGAAATAAAGAGCCAAGCAGATAAAGTACTGACAGGCTCTGGAGCAGGCAGGGGGAGGAGGAACAGGAGGAATTAGAGTGATGGAGCTGAACTGGTCCTTAGAGGCGTGTGTATTTGTTCATTCATGTAACAAATATTTACAGAACTCTTGCTGCTATTCATCCAAACAGCTCATGTCATCCATGGGAAACTGAGGCCCCGAGAAGGTAAATGACTTTGCTGAGGTCCCAAAGCAAATTAGGGGCAGAGTCTGGGCCAGAACCCAGGACACCTGTGCCCAGGGTCTCTTCCCACATCACCAGCAGCTTCTCCAGCCGGAGTGACCCTCCCACCTCGCCAAAAGAATCCAGTCACTGCCGTCAGCTAGTATTTACTGAGAGTCCACTCAGCAGGCCTGGGGCAGAGGGGAAGCCCCAACAAGCACCATGGTCCCTCTCCAGCCAGCAGCCAGCAGCCAGGGCCAGAGTTGAGCCTAATCAGCACCAGGGAGAGCCCAGGCCATCAGCGGAGCACCCCTGGGAGTTTGGGTTGATGGAATTTGGTGCAGGTGTGGGGAGAAGAAAAGGAACCTAAAGCAGGTAAAGTGTAGGAACTGAGTCCTCCCTCAAAAACACACACACAGGCCCCTGACCCAGGGTTCACCTGCCTGCCCGAGGCCCCCACCCACACCAGGGACAGCCCCTCTTCAACTCTACTGACCTCAATAGCCACCACTCCCGCTTCCCTCACTGGCCCAAGAAAGGCCAGAAGGAGGTAGGGCAAGGGGATGGCTCTGTCCCCATCAGCTGGTTCCCTTCTAGGTCCAAGGAAGCCCAGGGCAGAGGAACACCCATCCCAGATGGTGAGCGAGAAACCACCAGCCACGCCTTTGCCACAGGAGAACAGCGCGGTGGCCTGGGAGCTGGGATGGGGCCGAAGAGGAAGATGGGAAACCCAGTGGGAACCAGTGGCCCTTCCTGGCCCCCAGCAGAGGCCAGGGGCTGAACAGCCGGGAGTAGTAACAGTGGACACCACCGACTGGCCACCTGCCGGGTGCACGCGGTCCTGGTTCTCACCACACCCGACGAGGCCGGCAGCATTGCCCCATGTTGCACGTGGAGTGACAGGCGCAGGGAGGTTAAGTGGCCTGTGCCAGAGCTAGGAAGCAGTGAGCAGAGGTTCAAATGTAGGCCTGCCTGCCTCCCAGGCTCAGGGCTTTTCTGAGGACACATATCTCTGAGGGGCTGACTGGTCCAAAAACTGTCCAGCAAGCCATCCTCAGGGCTGGAGATGAACTAAGCCAGCACAGAACACCTCAAACCATGCGCACGAGTCACTGGAGGCCCTGCTCGCACGCAGTCACACCCAGCAGGCCAGGGGTGGGGGCAGAGGTGTTCGTTTTCAAACAACTCCCAGGAGGTCATGAGGATCTGAGGGCGCATGAACCACTTAGAGGAGCAAGGGACTCGGCCCTGCACCAACCCATCCCTGCGGTCTGACAATGTCAAAGGGCTTGTCTCCATCCTAATCTGAACCAAGAGGCCCTTTCCCCTTCCCAGAGCCCTCCAACCATTCTCTACACACAGCCACAAGCTACACCCAGCGATGCAGCACCTGGGGAAAATTATGAAGCCAGCTATTACCCCCAGGTGGAGGACCTGGAGTGGAGAGTGGGGGCTGATTCAGTGCGTCCCACTGGAGTTCAGAGGGCTCCCAAGAGACCAGCAGCCTCCTGGCCTCAGCTAAGAGCTGGCCCAAGGCCTCGGGGACTTGGTTCCTTCCAGTCCAGGTCCCCGCCGACCAACTACAAGCCCAGATCAGTTCGTGGGGGCACCGAGCGGATGCAGCCGCAGCTTGGGCTCCACAGGATCGATGCTGAAGAAGTTGACGGTGGCAGAAGTCCTGGCGGGCGGCAGGGGGTCCTGGGTAGCCTCTCCCGGCAGCAGCAGCTGGGCCGTGAGCTGGAGGCCTGAGCAGCCTCCTGAGCCTGAGTCAGGGTCCGAGTCCGAGTCCGGGGGCAGGGGCAGGGGCTGCACGTGCTGCAGGCTCAGGCCCGGCCGGGCACCACTGTGGGAGGTTCGCATGGAGGGTGAGGCCACGCTGGCCCGGTGCTCCCGGGGGTAGTGGGGACACGGCAGCAGCCTGCCCAGGGCCCGCTTGAAGTCCCGCATGAAGAGCGGGTAGATGATGGGGTTCATGGTGCTGTTGCAGTAACCCAGCCACGTGAGGACATCAAAGAGGCCTGGGGACACGCAGTCACACACGGCCTAGAGGGAGCGGGTGCGTCACGCCTGGTCCCAGGGCGGGAACACAAACCACCCCACACAGCAGGCCGGGACAGACACACACACACCGTGAGAGGTAGCCCGCTTCCTCCCTCTCCATGCCTGGGCTGGGGTGGGGCCTGGGGACCCCCCAGAAAGGCCTGGACTCACCTGCCCCTTGCAGTGGTATTACCTGGGCTATGTTGGTCACAAAGAAGGGCAGCCAGGTCACAAAGAACATGCCCAGCAAGATGCCCAGGGTCAGGCTGGCCTTCAACGCCTTCCTGCTGTGCTTGGTGGCCAGACGCCTGCTGTCAGCTGACTCCACCCCTGGGCGCGGGGTCCTGGGCACCTGTGGGAAGGAAGGCCACCTGAGTTAGCTGAGAAACAGCCCCTGTCAGACCCTGACCCCATCCACGGACTGAGCCTCAATCCTATACCAGCAATAAACTGAGTCCTAATCCTTGACTCAGCCCCAACTGTAGAGCTAAACTGCAGCCTTATCCTGAGCCCAGACAAAGCCAGGACATGAGCAATAAACCGTCCCTGAGCACGGCCCCAGACTGATCCCTGAAGCCTACCATAGAGTGAGCCCTGATCCCGGCCCGGCACTTCACAAGGAACCCTGGGAAATGCAGTGAGACAGAGCAACTCTGCCCCAAACACAAGCCTGTTCAGAAGGCCCACCCTCCACGCAAAGCACAACTCGACACGGGCCAACACACGACCGTGAGCCCCAGCACCGCCCAACTGAACAGTACTTGACAAGAGGCCTGCTGCTGTCCAGGGCTTGGCAATCTCTTTGTACATGGGTTTGGAGTAATGCTTTCTTGCACTGTTACTCTCATGCTCCACAGAATAAAGTGCTGTTTTGAACACATATGCACAGAGCAACTGTTTACAATGAAATCGATTATAAACTACTAAGGGTACATGTGACCCTGGCATTTTACAACTCAAGTGATGTGTGGACTGGTGGTGTCTCCATTCCCCAGAATAGACCAAGAGCGGGAGTGTGGGGAGGGAGCGGGGAAAGGAGCTGCTCCACAGCAGCCATCGACAGGGAACCCAGCACGAGGAGGTTAGAATTTGACTTTGCAAACCAGGGACTCACAGTCCCAAAGCATGAAATGTCTGCCTGAACCGGACGATCTTTTAGCCCAGAAGTTCCCATAACTGTTTCAACCTCATGAGCCCACTGAGAATCTAATAAAATCTACACGACACCCCAGAAAACTGAAAGCTTATCCGTTTTTACACACACACAAAAAGCATTCCCACACCCCAGGGAGTCCTGTGACCATCTTAAAGTCTGCGTATGAACCCCTACGGATCCACAAAGTCTTCCTCTAAACCACATGTTGTAAACTATTTGGATTTTCACACGTAAGACTTACACAAAGTGAGAACCCACGTATATCCACAATTTAAGTAAATATCAGTGTTCAAGGGGTGGGCACACTTCATTGAGCTATGCAAAGGGTGTGTGTGCTTCCTGGGCTTTGAAAGCCAGGAATTCCCCCCAACATTTCCTAAGTTGCATGAGAGCCCAGCTTAGTCCATGAGGCAGTAATAGTTTGGGTACAGAGAAGAGTCAAAAGGAGGCAGGGAGGGAACCAGGTTCCCAGGCAACCTTCCCAGATGGAAAGGGGGCGGAAGAGACGAAGCCAAGATGTGTCAGCCCCATAACATTTGCACGAAAGTCAAGCCCCGGGCCCAGGCCCCAGCTCCCAGGGACTGGCCTCTCGCAGCCTCCCTTCCTCTCCCGGCTCCTCGGAGCAGCCAGGCTGTTCTTGTCCATGGTGCTGAAACGCCTGCTCCGCAGTCTCTCCCTGTAGAATCGGGGGTCTAATTCGGAAAGGGCAGCGGACAGGAGGGGAGAGATGAAGCTCCCAGGAACTCCCACCCCTCAACGTGTTTGTCCAGGCGACGTCTGGTTATACGAGTATCAAGGGCAAATTCACAAAGAGCAGCCAAAGAGGCCCTCGGTCGGGCAGCACCGGGCAGAGGCAAGGGCCGGGCTTTTAAGACAAGTGATGGGGCTGCACATTGTGCCTCTACCACTCACTCACTCCGTGACCTTGAGAGTCTCCGTTTCCACGTCTGTAAAGTGGGAGAAACAATGCTCAGCTTACGGAGTCACGGTGAGGCTGTGGGTAGTAAATGCACACGCGTGGCAGCCCTGATGTGGGCTCAGTGGTTTGTGTGTGAGGTTGGAGAAATGTCAGCCCCCTCGGGAGTCTGGTCCTTCTGCCAGCAGCTATGGCTCCCCAAAGCAGCCCAGGCGTCAGGACAAATGCTCTGACTCACCATGCTGGGGGAGGGGGATCTGCTTTTCTCTTTCCTCTTCTCATGTTCTCTCCTGCAGAGTGTCTCCATATGGACTTTGTGGCCCCACCGTGGTCAGCCTGGAGGAGAGGCTCCCGCTTCCCCAAAGAATCTCCTAAGATCTGCCCTGCCTTTGAATTGCTGCCATCAAAGGGGGCAGACAATAGGGGAGGAGGAGCCACTGTCTCCAGGAGGCCCCACTCACATGGTCACCTCTTCGGAGACCTGGTGACCTGGGGCAGGAGACAGGCAAGAGAGAACCTTGATCTTGTCAGAGCTTGGAAATGGGGAATTGAGGGAGATACCCTGGGGGCAATCATCACGGGAGAAAGCTCCAGAGATGGTGTTATAGATAATCGGAGATTATCTAAGTTAACTTACCTCATACTAAGTTACAAAACAATACAACATGGTTTCACTTGTTTAAAAGAAAAATGCACAAGACCCTAAGCTTCTTTAGGCACATAAAGAAATACGTGAGCACACAGAAAAAGGACTGGAAAAACACTCTAAGTGAACCAGTGTCCCTGGGAGTAGAAGGTGATTGAATGGAAGTCTCAGGGGTCTTATACTTTATCTCTGTATTTGAATTTTTATTTTAAAATGGAATTGTGTGCTCCCTTGTGTGATTTCAAACTTTTACGACCATCTAATCATAGTGTGAGGTTACAAGGCGGGCTCTGGAACCAGACCTCCTGAGCGACCTTCAGCGAGGCACTTCACCTCTCTGTGCCTCAGTTTTCTCATCTGCAAAATGGCAATCAAAATAGCATGTACCTCATATGACTGCAGTAAGGATTAACTAAGGTAATATACAGCAAGTTATTTGAACAGAGCCTGGCACACAGTATGTACCACGTGTTAGCTATATTGCTGTTGTTATTAGTTTCCAGTTTAACTCTTTGATAATGGCAATGATGATGCTGGTGACAGGGATCCTGTTTTTCCCTAGGACGGCTCAAAAAGGGGTGAGCTCCCCAGAACCACTTTCTACCACAAGAGGGAAGGAGAACATTTGTTGAGCACCTACTACATGCCAAGTTTACATATATTATCTCATTGGCTCTTCAAACAACTTCAAGTGATGAATAGCATTTCCCCTGGGGTGGAGGGAGGTGAAGGTCTTGTCCAAAGTCATCTGGATGTGATGGGAAGGGGGCAGGATTGGAACCCATGACCAGCCAGCCACACAGGCTCCGGCACCCAGCCCTGGCTCCACCAGGTCGCCTCGAGCCCAGCAGCAGCCGAGCCTGCCATGCTCGACACTGCTCCTCCGTCAGTCTCTCCCCAGTTGGGCCCCCTCCTTCCCCTCTGAGATATTTCTGTGATCGCAGCCTCCCCCTCTGAGGAGGAGGGAGCAGAGATGGAAGGGAAAATGGATTGCTGAGACAGAATGATGCATAGTTGGCTGAGGGAGGGTGGGAAAGCCGGGCAGGGGGAAAAGGAGAAGAAATTGGTGGGAGAGAAATGGATAGAGGAAGACAGAGGGATGCAGAGGAAGGGAGAGAATGGGGTGAAAGGGGACCAGCGGAGAAGTGGGGGAGAAAGACGAGGTACAGAGGGAGGCGATGGGGAAGGGGCCATGGGCCAGACACAGGAACCTGGCAGACACAGAGGGGCCGAGACAGCAGAGGCTGCCAGCAGGGCCTGCTGCTTGCTCCCCACCAGGCTGAGCTCCTTCATGGGTCCCTCTGGAACCTCCCAAGGATGAGCCCCATTCCCCCAGGGGAACATCTTCTGTCTCTCCCTCTCCCGC